CGTGGAAATTGTCAATTTCAGGAATATCCTCTTTTACAATTATTCCTAAAATTTGTTCCCATTGCCAACAATTAAAAAATAAAATAAAAAAAGCAAAAAAATGAAATAAAAAAAAGGTGGAAAACCAAAAACCACCTATCCCCTAGGAAAAAAAAAGGTGGAAAATCACGCTTTAAGGTGTTGTACCTAGAAATTCATGGAAAATCAATTCCCTGGAAAATTTTGTCAATCAAACAGGCCAAAAGTGGAAGTTGGAATTCGAATTCCAAGTTCCATGGAAAATTTCGTGCAATCAAACGGGGCCTTAGATAAGTGAACATTTGAAAAATCATATGAACTCAGCAGGTTTAAGAGTTACAGAAATTATGATGAACAATAGTCGTAGCAGAATACACCAGTAACAAGAACCTTTGAAGACAAGAAGTTCATTAAGTTTCTTACAAGAGAACCATCAGAAAGGCTTTGCCGCATTGAAAGACCAGATTCACCCTTCACTTTACCTCCTTTAGAACTTATAATATTTCTCAATTTGTTGAACCACTCTGCCATATTCTCAGCCTTCAAGACAACAGCACTATGAGCTGCACAATCAAGTGAACTCATGGTCAGACTAATAGCAACTTGAATGAAATTTAAGCTAACAAGAAAGTTACAAAATCAATGATTTATATTGTACATTTAAGAACAGTCTTGTACGGAACCATGCTTGTTATCTTAAACACAAGACTGGGTCGTTTCCCTCCATCTGGACTATTCGTCTTTTTATCCTTGGAACTTTTTGAAGAAGCTTCATTTTCCTCCGAAAAGTCTTCAAGATCGCATTCCTGATAATCTCAATGACAGATCACAAGATTGGTCAATCATGACTTTATTTTATTTTATAGAATATTAAAGCAACATAATTTCTAAATCTCATCCATAACTACAAAAAAAAAAACATTTATGTTGTGAAATGTGAAAGAGGTTTATCAATCTTTAGAGCAGTTAAGATAACTACAGCATCAAGAAACTAAGCCATATTCCCAATAAAAATGTGCTCAGTTACAAGATCATTTTTTCCCATTCTATTTGTTCTATTGGATGGTAAAAATTAAGAATTAAATAAAGAAACACATTTTGCATTTTCTCTATTTTTGCTATACAGAAGAATTTTCCTCGTATTATTACATTTCCACATTGTTTCCAGGACAACAAAATAAGAGTGCAGAACATACAAAATGAAAAGCCAGCTTATCTAAATTCTTTCAAACAAATATGCATATATAGAAAATTCTTGAAGCCAATTCAGCACTAACAATCTCTATATTAGCTTCTCTTTCCTTGAAGAACCATTTAAGTCCACTCAAATAAATCTCCAAACAACATACCAGATAAAAGCAGCTTGTCCACAGTCATGTCTGAAGGGGTCAATGCTCCTTGGCTTCATCCTTTCCAAGACTAGTCTACAAGTCTCAGCACTGACAACTGTTCTCGTTAACTTGGTGTTAGTTCAGTTTCAGAAAACAATTCCATTGCATGGAATTTTCAGTTTCAGTTTATTGACTTGCCGCGTTTGGCATATTGGTGCTGAATAGCATTACTCTCTTAGCATACACTGATACATTTTTAGATTTTAATAGAAAAAGGTTTCGATTGGGTTTCCTAAACAGTGCAACCAGATTGGCTTCGGCTCAGGAAAGTTGGGCAGTGATAATTGTGTTGTCTATTTTCTGGATGAATTCCAAACTTTTGAAAGAAGGAAAACAAAAAATTAAAAAATAAAATCGCTTGCTGATTTGCAGGTGAGGGACAAAACTTCTTCATGGACTTCAGCATCAAGAGTACTGGAAATTATTTTATCTTTAAATATTCTTGGCTGGAAGGATGCATGCAGTATTCTATTTTTAAATTTGTGTTTTTATATTTCAAGTGAACGCCTTGTTAATGGACTACTTTTGTAACATGATTAAAAAAAATTTCATTACCCAAAAAAAAAAAGGGAAATATATGGAAAATTGCATGTAGGAATCTTTTGAGAGAGGAAAATCATTTTACATAGAATAATACTGTCTGTTGACTCTCATACACCCCCGTTGGATCAATGTGAAGAAGCTCGCAGGATCCATGGTTGAAATTTCAAATAAATACATGTTTAGTATGTATTAAATTCAAAAGTAACTCCAAAGTGATGACACCTCGAAAATGATACTTTTCTTGCTTTTTTATGTATCCAAGCTGCAGCAAGGGGTTTAGATTTAGGTGGCAACATCATAACATTGAAATAATCCGCAATGCAGGAAAAACATCTAGATATTGATAAAGTGCATTATTTTATAACCAAACGAGCATTCTAAAAACCATTTTTTTTTTATTTTTTTTTTTTGACGTTATCATTTAAAATCCATTTCGATGTGTGGACCAAACAAGCAGAACAAGAAATGAATAAACAATAGAAGTGTGTTATGCAAAGCTCAAAATGATATTAATCCAAGCATGTACATTACCAGAACAGCTGAAAATTATAAGGAATCTATGTATAAAAAGAACTGACCGGAGTTGGACCAGGGATCAATTTTCCTAATCAATCACCACTAAGAAATAATAGAAACACTTCAATCAAGGTGCTTCAAAAACAAATTAAAGCTCTGTTCCCAATATGCATTTGGCCGGTTGGTTACTTCAGAGTGCTTCATGAAGCAAAATGGATATAAAAAAAATTGGTCTGAACTACCCACCTTACCTGTTTTTTCATTTAAAACAAACCATCGTTTACTCCAGCCATTAGTTTTAGCACTTCTCTTCAATAAAAAACCTGCAGACGGGAAAGAAAATACTTACTTAAAAGAAGGACAGAGCACAATTATAAAATAAAATTCTATCCAATGTTCCAAACTCTAAACAGGTTAGAATGAGCAACTGGTCTAGTAAAACACCTCCTTTACTACACCAACAATACTATTATTCAACCATTTACAGTCTCAAAAAAATATATAGGAGACCTTGATACTATAAAAGAAGTTCAACAAAGAATTGCACAACAGGATAAGGGAAAAAATATATATATTAAAAAGGAAATAACAATTTTTGCATTTGAATAAAGTGTTTCGCCAATCCAAACATCTTCATGCCGTTAAATGGT